CAAATTATATTCTAATCCTAACCCTAACCTTAACAATTCGTAAAATTACTTAAATTAATTCAAAATAGTTAATTTATGTATATTATAATTGTATACTAATTATATATGCCCACCTATACTAAAGATCAACCATTTAGGGATTAATTAATAACTTTTATACTCACTGTTAAATTAAAATTAAATAAGCATTGGTGACAACAAATATTATTAATAAATTTTAAAATCGCAAATTTTAGTAAACCTTGAAACTTTCTAAGAACGCACCATTTGCATACTTCGATTAAGTGAATGTAAGATAAATTAAAAATTTTTAGTGGTAATGAATAATAAATACAAGTACTGTATTATATTTAAGAAATGTTCAAGTATTTAAAATTAGCGTTTGTCAACTATGCTAGATAACTTATTAAAATCATAAACTTACCTACCGTTAATATCATAAATCTATCAAAATCATTAAGCTACCTATTGTTAAAAACCTACTGTTGAAATCATGAAAATATCTATTGTTAAAATTACTCCCTATTACAATTGTGAACACATTCACAGTTTAAATATCAAGATGATTGTCAAGAAAATTTCGCCCAAAGTTTAAAAAAAATTAAGATACCTAAAGTTTATAGGCGGAAAAAATTTCTATAACTTTGACGATGTTACCTCGCCAACTACCTAACTAATCTAATAATTATTTAGATTCTACAGAGCTAAAGATTTCAAATAAACCAATTTATTAAGATTAGTTAGGTGATCGTTGAGAAAGCTTCGTTCAAAGTTTAAGAAAAAAATTGCATTTTTAATTTTTAAAATAGAATTTATTTAGTATCAGTAATTCAGCAAGTATCTGGTATAACTTTATTCACCTATGATATACTTATTATCATCTTAAAATATTGCAGTAATTATATATATATATATAAAATAATAGTAATCTTTAAAATGCATCAACTTTTTATATAAAGCTTTTCAAAAAGATATTTAGTAAATTTATGAGACTAATATTGCTCTATAAAGTTACCGGTCATTTTTTTGAACAATCTCTTGTATAAAAGGTTCTAGTGATTTAAAAAATCGAACATATAGAGTATAGACTACCGTTAACACCATATATTTATTAAATAAAAACTTTAAAATACATATTTTATCTCTGCAATTATAAAACAAAAGCAGAATATATATATCTAAACTAAATATAAACATATCATCTTTTACGCGGGTGTAAATTCGAGAGAAGAACGAATAAATAACATAGTATTAATATATTGTTCGCCATTATAATCCTTCAGTGGGATATAACGATACCCTAAGAATTTGCTAATAAATTTGAAATTACCAGATTTAATGCATCTGATAGTTGGCTGGCTAATTTTAAAAAAAGAAATGTTATTTCTTATTATCGACGTCGAGGAGAAGCTGGTAGTGTGCCTTTGGAAGATGTTTTAAAATTTTGTCTAGAACTTCAAGATGTTCTTCGAAATTATGAGCCTAGAGATATATTTAACTATAATAAAACAGCACTTTTTTGGCAACTTGAGCCAAGCAAGACACTCGCACATGGACCAGTTTTAGGAAAAAAAAAATCAAAGGATAGAGTTACAGTTATGATTACTTGTAATTCTACTAGTGATGAAAAATTACCACTTCTCTTTATTCACAAATACAAAACCCCACGTGTTCTTCGTGATATTGAAAAATCTACTCTTCTAGTCTAGTATTACTGGAATAAAAAAGGGTGGATACAAAGAAGTATATTTAACCATTTTTTAGAATGATTCAATAGTCAAATGAGACTTGCTTAACGAAACATTATTTTACTTTTTGATAATGCTTTGTCACACAATTCAAAAAATATTCAAAACTTATCAAATATTTGTATACACTTTTTACTACCAAATACAATATCTTGTCTTCA